TGACACGCGTGTGTCAGCACTGACACGCGTGTCATAGGTTCGCCATCACTGGTCTATGAAGATGCGCAAAATATTTTACGCTGCATTCTTTCTTCTCAACCAAAGGACTCCAAATTTGGCTATGTAGTGCTTCTGCTCAGCAGTTACTTTTTCTTCCCTAAAAGGTAGTAAGCTATACAGCATGATGACTGCTTCTATGGTAAGAAGTTTTATATACAGATTGTTCAAATCTAGACATTCGATATTGGGGGGATGTGGGGGAGAAGAACATTGTTGTGACTTCTAATTTGAACCAGATGGTAAGAATTTTCTATCATCTATGATAACATATAAAACAAGAAAAGCCATTTGAAAACCTTTCAAAAGTAATGTGTTAGAGTGAATCTACTGTATTAATTAGATTAGAGTTTCAGTAAATGGAATTATTTGTCTATATATTTTCTAGGTAAAGAATACTTTGATTATCTAGATTAGCGATGGCGAATCTTTTCGGCACTTGTGGAAATGTCACACATGCGCATGCTCATCAGGGCCATGCTCCAGAAAAGCTGAACTTCTGGGTTCTAGCGTGCATTCATGCCTGGCGATTAGTTGGCTGGCGTGCATGCGCAGGCTGGTTTTCGGCACTGCTGCACGCACACAAAGGGACCATACTCCAGAAAAGCCAAACTTCTGGGTTCTGGTGCACATGCACACACTGGTTTTTGGCACTGCTGTGAGCGTGAACAACAACTCATCATCGCACGTGCATGTGTACCAGAAACCCGGAAGACAAACAGGCAAGGCATGCTGGGTGACATGACTTTGGCCACACATGCCATATGTTCACCATCACGGATCTAGTTTTTTGTAGCCCAAATTATATAGCCTGGCTAAGTGTAAATGTAAATTAGACAGAAGATGAGATTCTGTAGGAACCAGTCCATTAGGGTTAATAGTGCTTAATATCTCTAAAGAAGCAAATAGGTAGTCCTCAACTTGTAACAGTTTATTTAGTGACTATTCAAAGTTACAACAGCACTGAAAAAAGTGGCTTATGATTGTTTTTCACACTTATGACCACTGTGGCATCTTCATGGCCATGTGATCAAAATTCGGATGCTTGGCAATTGATTCATATTTAAGATGGTTTGAGTGTCCTGGGGTCGTATGATCACTTTTTGCAACCTTCTTACAAGTGAAGTCACTGGGGAAGCCAGAGTCACTTAAAGCCATGTTACTAACTTAACAACTACAGTGATTCACTTAACAACTGTGGAAGGAAAGGTTGTAACATGGGGCAAAACTCACTTAAATGTTTCACTTAGCAACAGAACTTTTGGACTCTATTGTGGTTGTACATTGAGGACTACCTGTACTGATAACTATTAGGAGATAAGGATACGCGTTCATTGTTCTTTTACTTCTTTGGGGGGGTTTTCTAGTTCTCATTTTTTGCTAAGAGGCAGTGCTCAAAAAAGTTATAAAAGAAATGTTGTCATTCAGTTTCTGAAAATTTCTTCGTTTTCTAGCCTTAGCCCACATGGCTAATTTTTTTTATTATGCAGACTAAAGCAGTAACACATGGGAAAAATCTTGAATATCATGATACACAGACATTGTAAAAGGTTTAAATGAATTTTAGTATGAATATCTTACCACCTGGAAATAAAAAAATCCTGCTACTTGTCTTACACAGAGAATAATCTGATCTTTTGGGTACTGTACCAAACACTTTAACTTTAACAATAGCTGCCCTTAGCTACTCCCTCTGGCAATAAATTTTATTAGGACAATCTTGCTAATCCCAGATATGTATTTGTCACTTGTGGAAATATCTTGACTTTACAATTAATTGAGATAATTAATATGTGACATCCTGCAGAAAATAGATGGGAGATTAACAGCAGCAGCAACAGAAACAGATGAATCCTTAAGCAAGACAGATTCCATTGTGATGCAAATATTCTCAGTGACCGAAAAACAATAGAAGACAAATGCTATGCAGAACAAAATGGGAAATAAAATAAATAACAAAATAGAATATTTGTTCAAAATTTTCCAAAAGGGGCATCAGAGCCTCACAGGTTTTTGTTATTTTCAAGGAAAACCATATCTTATTGTTGTTTGGTATATGATTGATTGACACTATAATTACTATTAGGTTAACATACCTGATCCTCTTATATTCAATTCAAAATGGCAAGTGAAGGTGTCAGATCCCTTATGTGATATTCCCATTCAATTAGAAGGAGGGGGGCCTCGGAGTTAAATCACTAGCAGTACCTGTACCAACTGAGATTTACAACTTTTACAAGTGGCTTCCTGTCATCAGAAGATTGGAGGTCCCAGCACCTCTGGAGGGATGTTTATGATGGCCATGTGGGATATCTTACTTTAATGTCTAACTAGAGATAGCCATGGGGACGTGTGTTTTATTCGACTCTCGGGGCAAAAGAGTTAAGGAAACATCTTCACACTTGTGTATTGGCCAGAATCTGCATTCTGACAAAGGGGAGGGGTCATTATCAATTTAATCCCACTTGCATTGCCTAAAGGATTTCAGATGCTGCTTTGCCTTTAATGTTTCCATCCTGCTTAATTAAAGGTTCCTTTTGAAATAATCCATTTCAAGAATCTTTACTTTCTTAAGTTAGGAGAGGAGTCATTACAGGGGGAAATGTTGAAATTTCAGCTGATCTAGTTTTTAAATGTCCTAGGTAAGTCATAGAGGTCTTGCATGTCTTCTAAAGTAGTCATTTAAAGCAACTAAGAAACTTAGTATTGCATCCATGCTTTTTAGTATAGAGCATTAAGCAAACAGGAGGATAATAACTTTAAGAGCTGATAAATTGTGACCTTTAAAGAAAACACCTACTCATTTTGCAGCATGAATAATTACATAGTTTGGAAAATAATGAATGTGGATGAACTAACCCAACTTGGCAAATGATTTACAAGTAAACTAATTGCTGTAAATATTGATCAAATGCCACCACTAAAGATATTTCAAATCAAAACTAAGCTGTATAACATCATCTGAATCTGGGGGTGGTGATGTTAAAACATGATCAATTGATCATCAAAAAGAAACATTACTGTATCATTTTATTTCAATAATATATATCCATATTTATTAATTTCCATACTTCCTGGATGGGTCTGGGAATTGAGTCCTCTCTTAATCCACGAAGCAAGCAATCTCGCAGGGTTCCAAGTAATACACTCATAAGAAGCAGAACTCCAAGGCAAGCAGTTTCCTCAAATAACACGTTTATTGGGAATATCTATTGGCACAGGCCAGTGAAAACCAACTCTAAACGTTTCAGCAATTTTCACCTAATTAAAAGTAAAAGTTTCCCCGCTTTCCCAAACAGGCAAAACTATTTTGGCTACAAAACCCCAGTTATCTCTATCCCCCCCCCTATCCCTCAGCACCATTGTGGTAGCACTGAAGCCCCCAAAATGGCCTTGATCAAACTAGCTTCATAGTTGACGGCTCCCCTTAAGGAAAAAGAACTTCCTGCAAGGGAAAAAGAAAAATCACAAAGATGTTACTTAGGATTCAATCTAACCCTCCCCCCCATCTCCCCCTGGAGGTCCTTTAAGCTTCTGGGGGTATTTCTCATGAAATTGCTTAATCAATTTATCAGCTTTCACATCCCAACTCTTGACCCAAATAGCTTCTGACAGTGCTATCCTTTCCATTGTACTAAACACTGCAACCTCCCCTTGTACAATCTTGAATCTAAAATCTGTTTGACCTCATGGTGAGTCTCTCCCTGTACTACAATTGGTTTTGGGACTGCCTGATCTACTGGCCTGAGCTGGAAGCCTACTGCTGGCTTTAACAACCTACTGTTAAAGATTGGATGCACTTTCCCCAGCAGGAGGGAGCTTAAGCTGCACGGTAACACAATTAATCACTTTCACTATCAGAAAAGGCCCAATAAACTTGGGCCCTAACTTCTTGCAAGGGAGCTTTAGCTTCAAATACTTCATTGAGAGGTAAACTTAACTTTCCATTTGGAAAGGCACTTGTTGGCTTGCACTTTATGGGTTTTTGCTGCTTCTCGAAGGGCTTGCTTAGTATTCTCCCACACTTTCTTCAGGAACTCCATCCATTCAGCCAATGACATGGATAAAGGTGGCTCCCTAGGGAGTTCAGGCATGGGGATGAACTCCACACCTCTGGTGACTTGGAAAGAGGTCAACCTGGTGCTAAAATGCACTGTGTTGTTGTAAGCCACTTCAGCAAACAGCAGCAACTCCGCACAATTTGTTTGTTGGTAGTTGACATAGCACTTCAAGTATTGCTCTAGCATTCCATTCGCTCTCTCTGAGGCCTCATTGGTACTCAGGTGAAATGCCAAGCTAAGCCCCTACAAGGAGGCAATGGACTTTATGAATTCCCTCCAGAACTTGGTGGTGCATTGGACTCCCATATCAGAAATGATCCTGCGTGGAACCCCATGCAGGCTATAGATGTGTTTTACAAACAACTTGGTCAGCTTATTTGTGGACAGGAGACCGGGGCAGGCTATGAAGAGGGCTTGTTTTAAGAACACATCTATTATGGTCCAAATGGCAGCATTTCACCCACTATCAAGGAGTTTTATGATGAAGTCCATGGCAATCTCTTCCCAGGTTTGAGATGGATCTGCCACTTGTTGGAGCAGTACTGGGGGGGTGGGTGGTTATGGCTCCCCCCCCCGGCTGCATAAGTGGTTTCTGACAATTTTTTGGAGTTTTATGCACAGAGTTGCAGGTTGCCCCATATGTTCCTTTGAAGGAGGATTGCTGTAATGGCCACATTACTGACATCAGCTTGAACCATGAAAGTTTAGGAAGCATGCCAGCTTATCTAGATCCCTGTTGAAGATGGCAGCAGGCAGGGGAGCAGGGTGGGCTGGAGGTGCTGCCAAAGGTGCTGCTGGGTACAGTGGTGGCACCAGGGCTGAGATCCATTGGACTTGAAAGCAGCAGTGTCCAGGATAGTAAGCCCAACTGGGAGGTATCTGCCAACCCAGTGGAAGTTGGGGCTATTGAGGCAGACTAGCAACTCATTGGCACCTTTGGTGAACTCCACTGCGGTCCTGGACAGGACTGCACTAATTAAGATGGTGGTGGGGATAACTGCCCAGGTTATTGAAGTGACAATCTGTACCTACTGGAGAGGGATTGTCAGGGTCCACTGGCTCAGAAGCATCCTCATGCACTCAGGCCGACATGACTGCTCCAGGCTTCCAAGGCTCAGTCTATTGAACCTCTCTGGTAATCCCTCTGGGGCTATGAACCACTGTTTGGTACTTTCAGTCCCCAGAGTCATCCAGATCTAGCAGTCCCTTTGCCCTCCACTTGAGGACTATGGTCATTGACTCCCTGGTCAAGTTCACTGGATGATCCCTTACTGATTCTTGGGACAAGGTTCAGCATTTGAAGCTCTACTCTGCTTGGTACAGTTCCCCAGTGGCCAGCCACTTGGTATGGACTTTGGTTAGTTTCCATCCACTGTTTTTTGTTGTGCTTTTTGATGCTTTGGAAACTAGATCCAAAAGTTGTAAATGCTGCAACAAGAGATTGGACAATCATTTGTCTGAAGTGATGTAGGGTTTCCTGCCTAAGCAGGGAGTTGGACTAGAAGACCTCCAAGGTCCTTCCCAACTCTGTTATTCTAGTCTATTCTAAATATTGGAACAGTGCTATTTTATTGTGCTGTTTTATTGTGAGTTGGACTAAGGAGAAATTTCCTAAGGGTGAGACCAAGCAAGTTGGCCATGCCCACCCAATCCTATGACCCATTTCTCACAGAAAAGGTAGCCACAATACCTGGGTAGGTGTGGTGGGATGTGTGTCAGGTGACTGGTTGGGAGTGACATTGAGTTGGCCACACTTACCCACTCAGATGACCACCCAATTATGCCCACCCACTGACCACCAAGCCACACCCACAGAACCGGTGGTAAAATAAATTGAATCCCACCACCGGCCTGTTTCCCAGGCTTCAATCATTTCCCTGCCTATCTTTGTACCTACATGCCAACAATCTTGTAGCTATGAAATTGAATGTATGTCCTTGTTCATTGCAATGTGGAATGCATTATAGAATCTATCAGAAAATGAATGGAAGAAATGTGGAGGATGTCTAAAATCTATTTCATTTTACTGTATTCAGTATCAAGACAAACATCCACTCCTGCATTTTACACTAATAATGTAGGCAAATAGGCACTGCATCTATGTTTAATGAAGGGCATAAGGAATTTATTTAAGCTGTGTTTACTTGTTAAAAAAACATTTTAATCTACAGTTCACTGCAGATTATTTTTTTCATTCCAGTGCTTACTAGAATGATTTGTTGACTGTATTTATAAGCTTTTAAAAGTTTAAACAAATTGTCTTACGTAATGCATGATTGTATAAGGGTTAGACATTGTTTGCAGTTAGCACTGACATTTTGTTCTAGTGGAATTTTTTTTTAAATTGTTAGATCATAGTCATTACCTAATGTAGGCAATCAGTAGGTTCTTCTATAAAAATTATTACTATGCTGTTGTTATTTGTTGAATAACTGTTGACTCCAAGGTCTTCTTTATTGTATGCATGTAACTTTATTGTATACATGTAATAAATGCATGCACGGTTCGGTTTTTAGGTAGGTAATGAGCATAGCCACAAGTATTTTGATCACACAGTTCAGTTAATCTTTTTGGCTATGCTGTTCTCTGGAAATAGTATGGCAGCTGGACAGGGTTAAATATAATTTCCTTCACTTCTCCAATTTTCCATAATCTGTCTGCATTGTGCTCAGGTTATTAATGGAATTGGCATCTCCATACAACTGATTGAGCACTGAAGCAGTCAGGTAACAAGGGAGAAGCCGATGGCAGCAAATAATCTAACATCAAAGGATAAAAGAGTATTAAACATGTCATAACAAATGGTTTCAGATCAAGCCAAAGTAGATGAAAAGCATCACATCTGGTGAGTGAACCCATGCTTTTGTGAATTAGATGCATATAAATTAAAATTGCTTTTTTGAGGGTGAAAGTTACTACCTCAAGAGATGTAAACTGTAAACCATAATGATATCATGTGTTCCTGATGCTTCTTATTTCCGTCCCATCCTATTCAAACCCATTAATGCAGGCAAGATATGGATAGCATTGGATTACAAATCACATAATCAATATTAATCATTAGGCTAGGGATACTGTATATTATTTCAAATATTTCGAAAGCGCTTTAGCTTGTGAATTTATTTTATCTGCAAGCGAGATAATATTTCGAGAGATGAATGATTTGGTAAGAGACTTGAATCTTACTCGGATCAAGGCTGAAAAGCAGGAATTTATTGTTGCCAGGAGCATCATCTTCATGGTTCAGACATCGTGAAAAGAGTTCGTTCTTTACTTCACCGAGGAAGACAAGTTGGTTTATTGCATCGATGTCAAAGGTTTGATTTGATTTGATTTTGATTTCTGGTTTATTTGTATGCCGCCCTTCTCCAGGAGGGACTCAGGGCAGCGAACAACTCAGGGGGGAAAGGGAA